CCCATTATTTGAGTTCCAATGCCTTGCTCTGAGTTTATAGCATACCTGTAATAGTTGCATTTCCGGTACTGAATCCACCTCAAAACATAACGCGCGATTCTAACATAAAGTAACACGTCAGCCGCTTCTAATTCTACAAAATCATCATTTTACAACGAAATCTTTGAAGATAACGACCACAAAGAATTGTCACTAAAATGACTGGCATATCTTATATTGTATCAGGCTTTTTTGAAATGATTGATATTTGGTGGCATTTGCCCACGAACGAAGGGAGATAAAGGAGGGTCAAATGCGCGTTTCCTAAAGCCTTTCTAGCTGAAAAACACGCCTGTGTCATAACCATGCAACTCCACGGCGCCAAACGAAGCCCCATGCCGTCCAACGAAGTTTCCCCGGGATCGGCAAGCTTTCCAGGGTTCAAAGGCGCACTCACGAAATCTCAGCCATCAATCGGTTTCATTGCGCAGTATCTGATCAGACGCTGTCAGACGGTTAATAAACATGGTTCGATGACCACCATATATACAAACCGAACTCTCGTCTCCGGAAGCTGGGTATCTGGAGTATGACGAAATAGGTCTGGTGTGGCCACGGTATATCGCAGGCCTTTCGGCAGTACGCCGGAGAGGGCAACACTATTGACGTTCCCATTACGGAACATCCCGGTCAGCACACGGCTTGGAGCATGGCGCAACATCATCACACTAAACGATCGGTATTCTCGTCTCTTAAGCCTTTCCAAAGATGCGGGTGAACGACCAGGCAAGGGTTTATAAAAATCGGTAGAATGTAACTTGAACTATCATACTAAGTCAATTCAAAGAATATTTACTCTATTTTTTCTTATATGTCCCTTGATTCTGGGCTCAAGTGATACTCCGCGCCTCAAGAAACAAAAACTAGAGTACCACGCCAACTCTACTGTCAGCAGAAAGTACGGGCCTCCACTGTCATTTTCGCCAACTGTAATCTCCCAAAACTGTGCAAATGACACAACAAACAATGCGCGAAGTGTATACTCGCGCCACCTCATAACACAATCGATTCGCCATGTCTCCGCGTGCCGTCGGACACATAGCGAAATAAAAACTTCCTTCTATATATGATCTTTGTTTGGTGCTATTTCTATATGACGTATCCTCACTTCCTTGGAACTTCGACCTGCCAAGTTACAGCCCATTATTGACTCACATGGGAAGATTCGTTAGGCAGCAGTAGAATAAGGGATCACCTGTCGAGTGGACGCTCAGCGGGCTACATATCCTATCCCTCGGCGCACTTTCAAAGGATAAGGAACAAGAAGCATGACCAATGCGGCTTTCCGATCTCGCTCCTCACTCATCTGCCACCGACCTCCTCGAGATCACCAGAGGCCAAGGAAGCGGTTGTGCCGGTCTTGAGGGGTCGCGCACCCGACTCAAGTGCTGCATCAAACGAATGCGGCGCGTGGTGGCCCGGTCCATGTGTCGCCGCGGGCGCAGTTATATTTCATTGCCCGTGGTTCGTTAGCCGACGGGAGGCCGAGATGCCTCCGAAGTTTCACAAACCCTTTGTGTATGAAGGTCGACATTCGCGTTTAGTGATTTTTGTTGCTGTATTTTCGGTTGTATTTTTCTGCGACTGCTGAAAAGCTGCAATGCATCTGCCTTGCACACCGTTGTCTTTGTCGAGAGGCTTCAAGGCTTACTTCAATTAAATTCTTGTCGTTTACGCATAAAAACCACTATATGTTTGAGGCATGTCGTAGATGGACATTTCAAGCTAATTTTGACCCTGTGAGCTCCTTTAACGTGCACCTAAATGTATGTACGTGGGCATTTCTGCGTTTGGCCTCTACCAAGATGCGCTCTACCAAGATGCGCTCTACCAAGATGCGGCTGCCGTGGCCGAGAAAGGAACCCGCGTCCTTGGGCTTAGAAAGCACAACACCTCGACCGTTGGGCAACTACGGCCTGCTTCCATCCGTTGATTGATTGATATGTGGGGTTTAACGTCCCGAAACCGCCATATTATTATGGGGGACGCTGTAGTAGAGAGCTCCGGAAATTTCGACCACCTGGGGTTCTTTAACGTGCGCCCAAATCTAAGCACACGGGCCTACAGCATTTTCGCCTCCATCAAAAATGCAGCCGCCGCAGCCAAAACTTGATCCTGCGACCTGCGGGTCAACAGCCGAGTACCTTAGCCACTAGAACACCACGGCGGGGTTGCTTTCATTCGTGCAAACTTACAATAATTATTTGAACGCCAGCATATCTCCTTTGAAGATCAGTGAGCAAAAGTGAAAACTTTTGCTCTACTAACACTTAAATTGTGCGCGTCTTGAGCATGCTTACAGGCCTCGGTTCCACAATTGAAATATATAATCAAAGGCGAATAAACAAAAGTGTTATTCTCGAATGTCATTTAATAAGTCGGTTGACAAACGAACATTCCTAATTCAGTGTTGTCAAGCACCACGAGTAATTAGTTATCGTGATAAAACGCATTTACATCTCACTTGCTATGATATAAAGAGAGAGATATATACTTTTTATTAGGAAAACAGTTTTTTGCCGACGTCTATATAAAAGAAATTCACAACTCGCTATAAAATTGGGGTGGAGCTTGCAGTGAAAAAAAAGACAAGGAAAGAAAAACTGAGACATTTATTCTCAGTGCTGTATGTATGGGAATTTTCAATGGATGCTTAAACGCTCGAGGCCCATGCAAATAGATTTAGGTGCATGTCAAAGAACCCCGGGTGGTCGACATTTCCAGAGCCTTCCACTATACGGCGTCCCTCACAATCATATCGTGGTTTTGTGAAGTTAAGCTTCATCAATTATTATCATTTACTATATGAGAAAAACCATGTCGGGCTTCTAATAGTTAACCTTCGCTTGCCTCCCTGCCAATAGTTACCGAGAGAAATATCATCTGCCTGTGCTTAAGCAAGCGTTACAAATACAACTCGACCTCCCAACTGGTATTACTGTACACAAAGACAGTGCATGGTTGGCTACCGCATTGTTATTTTTCGTTTTAGCTCCATATTTTCACTGCTACAGGCACTCTCCTTTCCCTCTTTGATGCGCCTTTAGGTAAACGTGCTCAGTTTCCTCCAGGTACGACGCTTTCATCTCCTTCTTAAAATATTGTTGGTTTAAGGAAAATGCATTTTTTTTCCATCAAAACGTACCAATGTCATGATAATGGGCATCGCTAGGGGGAATCACAGGGAAGCTCCAGCTGGACGTATATCAGCTCACGTGGTTTAAGGAGTGGTGCGGTATATGTCCCATACGACGTAGCTTCCTGATATTATAGCTTCCCCAAATGTTACCGTGTTACTTTATCGGGTAATAGACTTGAACCCAATGACAAGCAGACGCTGGTTTCGAGACCAACACGTTGTCCACCACGGTAGATAAGTGCTTAAAGTGCCCGGCTGCTCACCCGAAGGTCACGGGATCCATACCGGCCGCGGCGGTCGCATTTTAGTGAAGACGAAATGGTAAAGGCCTCTGTACCACATATGCGATGTCACTGCACCTTAAGGAACACCTGATGGTCAAACTTTCTCAATCCCCTCACTACGGCATACCACTTAATCATATGGTTGTTTTGGTGCCGAAAACCTCAGATGTTATTATACAATTAGGTACAAAACGTTCAAAGTGACCTTTACATTCCAACCCATTATGCTTACCTAAGTTTCCTTTTACAGGTCGGCGTATATTCCTAATTTTAGCTCTTTTGCGTAAAGGTACGCGGAGTGGAATACGTTAATCTGTGTAGAAAGTGTAATTTGGGAACGGTTCTATTCGAGGTGTAGGTCAATGCAATACGTCCGAACTATTCCGTGTCCGCGCGCAATAATATTTCTCAAGCAATCGTCACAAACAAGTTATGTAATCGTAAAGGCACTGAACTTGGCACGGATATCTCAGGGAACCGGAGGACTCTTTCGATGCCGCATGAAACATCTTCACAAATAAAGAATACCGACCGCTTTCGGGCGTTGTTACGCCTTTCTTTGCGCGAGTAACATATGGGGTGAGATTGATCGTCCGTTTCGTGCGCGGGTCTATATAAAGCCAGTTGCTGCAGCGTCATGGCAGGCAGCATAATCGTTTTCATTTGTGTGCGGCTCATATATTTCAATATTAGCATATTTTTGTTCAATTTACAGGGCGGGGTTCTCTCTTGTTCGCTCGAAAAGCTTATCGTGAAGTACGACGACAAATACCAGCTGCCTGCACTTCGCAATGACGCGCATGCTGAACAGTGACGTTTCCTTGTTTATTTGTCTCCATTTGTTTATTGGCTACAGCGACGCACACTCCCGCTTTCCTGGACAGGTAACGGCACCTTCTTGCGGCACGTTTAGCTATACAAGCCCTATTTTAGAACTCTATTTTTTTCCCCTTTATCGTAAGCGGTTGCTAGTTTCAGCCAATATGCGGCTCATCGTATATGTATATATTTTAAACTCGCTTTTTTTTCACTAAGGGAACAAATATTTTCATTAAGGTTTACTTCTTCTTTACTACACGTGTTGGTTCTATGAGGATGGTGTGGTTCACAATGTCACCGTCAGCAATTTCAGCCATGCATGGACTACTCATCTTGTATGTATACATAAATATTTCTACGGAACTATACCAGAACATAGCTTCTGTTTTCAGAGAGTTGTGCCACTCATCAGATGAGCTCCATGCATGTGAGCCTGCGTGCAGTTTTTTACATTGTTTTCTTTTTCATTTGTTAGGCATAAAAAATTGAACAGACAGCCGAATTCGAGTGAGTTCGGCAGCCTACTCTAGCAGCAGTACTGACCACTGCGAGTGTAAATGGCAAGGCCATGGTTCGAATGCGCGCCCTTGATATCGTCAGTATTTCGTTCACTACACGAAGTACGCGAATTCCATTCGTTAGAAACATGCCTGTGAAAGTAATATGCGTTAGCGGCTAACTAAGAGTGCTGAAAACGATTGAATAAGAACAGCTGTTACCTGCAGAGATGTGGAACTTGGTAGAGAGTGACAACGTGGTGTGAGAAGCGTAACCCGACGAAAAATTCACAACCTGGCAAGGCCGACTAATACGCAAAATACTCCGGCCGCAGTGAAGTGGTGAAGGGCTCTGCACGGAATCACCCGCGAATTGAAAGCGACGAGTGTATCGGCGCACAAAGCCGGCACAGCGTATAGTATACGTCAAAGAGCCCTGATGACGCCGCATTTCTGCGGCGCGCGTCAGCGCGGAGCACGTTATGTTTCATGTTATTTTTATTTTATTTTTCGAACTTCGCGCGACGATGAACTCCGCGAGTCCGGCCATGTTCATGCATTTTTTTTGTCAATGCTGCTTAACAATGCACAAAAGCGCTCGTAAGTAACGCACTTGAAGACAATAGAAAGAGACCGGTCAACGTTCAGGGATTCCTCCCTTTGGTTTTGCCAATCAGCCGTCTGCTACTACACACTATACGTATTTTGCGATAGTCACAGTTTACCTAGCAGTCTTGCCCACCTCTACTGCGCCAGCGTCTAATGCTGCACGCTCTTGTTGCGGGATGTTGGAGCAAAAGGCTCCGCAGACCTAATCAAAACAGTTATGATAAGCGTAAAACCAGTGATAACCAAGTAGTAGGAACAGAAGGAAGCATGCGCAGCCATCGGACTTAAAAGTGATTTATTAGTTTACAACTGATTTGGTTTTCGCTGGTTTTGCGCTTGTGTAAGTGGATTGGCCCAGCAATTCACGCTTCTACGTTAACTGCGTGCGGAAGTACGACGTCACCAGATGTCACTAATGACTACAGCCAAACGTGTCAAACGGTGCAACATCTAATGATCACTACCAGTGGGCAAAAATCCGCGCTCATGTTTACGCTTCACCTGCAATTGAAACCAGTATGATTAATTTTCCAGTGTATTTTGTTAATATAAAAAATCTAAACGGCAGTACTTACGAAGAAACCAAAACAAAGTAATTCCCTCGAATGAACTTAGTGACGCCTTACCGAAGCTAGAACCAAATCAAAGCATAATAAACTTTTATGCGAAGGCTATTATTGTGATACTGTAGATGTTCACTAGACCCGCCTTTCTTGCTTGGTTATTATGGCATCCTGTCGCTAAAAGTGGGGTTGCAGTCTCAACTACAGGCAGTGGTGACTGCATGCACCAATTCAATGGAAATGTGAAAACTCGGGTGTACTGAGGCTTAGGTGATCCTTAAACAGCGGCAGCTCCTCGAAAGGCCTGCTTACAGGAGCCAGATGTAAACTTGCAGAAACAGCTGCGTTTGCATTTTGAGCGCGCTATTAAGCAACCAAATCGTGCATCGTTTCATTGCGTGTGTGTGTGGGGGGGGGGGGGGGGAGTCATTGCTGCTCTCTCTCAAATCCTTTTGTCTGTGCATCACCCGGTTGTCCTTCCAAGCACCCTCCTTAGCGTGCATGCATTCTGAGATGTTAAGCTCAAGAGGAGGCTTTCTTGCAAGCTTGTCGTCTAGTGGTTGAGCTCGTTGTCGTGTTATAGGTAAATAAATAGTAGAAACTGAAGCTGCTAGAGAGTGTACAGCACGGATTATCACAGCCTTAAGTAGACCCTGTGCTTCCCTAATTTATGCTAGCATAAAACAAATGTATTCGTTGTGGTACAGTGCACTTGCCATAAATGCGCGCCTCATCTTGCGAAACTAAGTTAACCATCTTCAGTATCCGAAATGAGAGTGATAATTAGCCTGTATTCACGCAGGCATCGCGAGGCGTATTGAAAGCGATTCTAGAATACGCGCCTCCGTTTTATTGCTTCTGAGCGTGGAGCGTTTAAAGAAAAAAAAAGGAAAGAAAATAAGGACGCAAGCGATGACAAAAGTGCTGATCATTGGAGCTCGTGAAAGGCGGGCCCACGTGGCCCCTGCCGCTCTCTCTCTGAGTCAGATATAGTGTCATCTGCGAAGAGAAATTGCTCCATCCACCGAGAAGGCACACTGCATCGCTTGCTGCATTATGTCGCGAATGGCGTCGATATTTCCATACTACAATGCTCGTCTTTGATCGACCCGTCGGTCCGTCAATTTCCGCCACTCTCGAGCTGTCGGTGGCCCCACCGTGTTTCCATCGACCGCGCTGCAATCGATTGCATTCAGAAACCTGTGCCAAAATGCACGCGCGCCTGTCGCGTGCACTGCGAAAATTGAGGCATCGCACGAAAGATATGCAACCGGCGAAAAGCGTAAGAGTGTTCTTTTTTCTATTTTTCCGTCGCATCACTTAAAAAAAGGCGTGTCTGCAAAGGAAGCAAGGTCGTGTGCGAAGGCCTTTATTGCACGGCGGCGAGTTAAACAAAAGAGCCCGGCGAGGCAAAAAAGAAAAGAGAAAAGAAAGAGGGTTGCCCTTCAACACGCCTTTGAACACGAATGTCTCCCGCCTGTCGTTGCGTCAGAGACTGCCGCTGGCTTGCCGAGGGTTAGCGGTCACAAACAGCAACACCGGTCCCCGTATTCGAGGCAAGCACTTCGTCGACGCTCGCAGAAGCGCCGGAAGCGACGAAGTGTCTCCGCACAGAGAAGTACGCATCTAGCGCTGAACTCATGAATGCGAAGTTCTTGGGTGCAAGCAAGGGTGTTATTTTGCACCTTCTCTGCTACCGCCCTTATTGCATTGCAAAAAAAAAACACGAAAAAAACGAACAAGATCTTGAAAACCGTTATCGCACAGCAAACAGAATTCCCAGTACCCGCGGCAGTTAAATGCGAGACCAGCCTGGGTTGCTCTCTCTGAAAGCACTAGCGTGTTTAAATGCATCGAGATTCAATGAAATGACGCGGGCGTTAGTTACCTTACTACTACTTTTGCAAGTCCATTATTTTGACATCTTCTTTTCTTTTCGTATGCTTTTCGTATTTGTCATCTTCCGTCACTTAGCGCACAGTTAATTCAGTTACTTATGCCCACTTTCACCTGCTCCCCTGCTCTCTCTACAAGCATACTATTTTTGAAAAATTCGCAACTTAGTGGGCGAGTTTAACAGTTCTTGTTTCGTGGTTCCTGCAATATGTTCAGCGTTGCAAAACTAAGGCTCGATTCCGTCCCCAGCGCTGACATGTGGATGTAGGTTAAATGTTATAGGAGTCCATATACGATGTCAGGGGACATTAAAAATACCTGATAGTCGGAACTTCCAGAGCCCTCTATGACTTCACAATTATATCGTGCGTTTTGGCAAGTAAGACGTTATTATTATTATTATTATTATTATTATTATTATTATTATTATTATTATTATTATTATTATTATTATTATTATTATTATTATTATTATTATTATTGAGAAAGGAAGACAAAGACAGAAAACCACGATCATCATGTCGAGAAGAAAATACTGAAAAAATTCACCTACTACTCCGTCGCACTGGGCATGAGCCATCCGAGAAGGAGGAGAAGAGGCGCCACGATATTAGAATTGGGATGTGTGTTGTTCTCGGGCGGTCCTGCTTATACAACTAAGCCATTAATTACCTTGAAGCGGGAAGCTCTGTGCTTGTGCCTGGGGCTGCCTAGATTGACAGCAATTAATGTTATACATCAGGCAGCGCGTCTGCCTTCATTGCTCCATCAATTCCGTATATTAAGGGTACCAACATTACTAAAATTTTATAGCTTGCCACTAAGAGACGAATACGTTTTAGGGCCGAAGCTCCTTAAAGCGGCACCCGTTCGTCCCTCGTAGTAGTCGTAGTCGTAGTAGTGTGTAACCAGTCTTACGTTTTGACCTCCAAGGTGGTGCCGCTGGGAGATTTATCCTGTGGGTTGCTGAACAATAAAAAATTCGCAGCATGCGCAATAACTAAAAGCCGAATTCTCCTGTCTCTCATTCCCCATTAGCAGCCATTGGCATGTACATTGAGCACTATCTGACAAGAAAGGGCTGCAACGTTATACTCGCTGAGCGTAACCTCCTTGGTTTTAGAAAGGTTTAGCGAGCTTTGAGCCGCAGTGCCATGAACACAGTGAACTAGTATATACCATGAACTCGAGGTGGGTAAAGGTGGGATGTAGATACGAAGCGCAAGCCGTAAGAAAGTAAAAGCCGAATTCTCCTGTCTCTCATTACCCATTAGCAGCCATTGGCATGTACATTGAGCACTATCTGGCAAGAAAGGGTTGCTACGTTATACTCGCTGGGCCTAACCTCCTGGGTCTTAGAAAGGTTTAGCGAATGTTGAGCCGCAGTGCCATGAATCAGTAAACTATAGTATATACCATGAACTCGAGGTGGTTAAAGGTGGGAAGTAGACACGAAGCTCAATCCGTAAGAAAGTGTGCGTGTGCCTCCTCTCATTAAGTTTTTGGAATGTCCGCTGGATGGAGGTGCTTCTATATGGGGAATATATGATGAAAAGATGCGAGATGGTGGTACTTAGATTGTTGAATAGATGTACGAACGTACACACAGACAGATGCATGGACTGACGCATGGATGGCTGCACGGACGGATGGACGCATGGACGGACGCAGGGGTGGATGCATGGACGAACGCAGGGACGGATGCACAGATGGACGTGTGGACGCACGAACAGACGCACGCACGGACGGTCACACAAACGGACGCATGGACGGACGGCAGCAAGAACGAATGGACGGACGGATGCTTCGCCCCACTCTCCATCATTCACTCCGTGAATATGCTGCCATTTTTTTTTATAAGTAACCCATACTCCTTCTTTCGTGCTCATTGGCCACGTTTCCATACACCTCAGATAATCTACGTACAAAATGAACTTGAATGCGGAAGTGTTGATATCAGAGAAGTAATAGTAACTAATGACCCCAATCAGTCTCTCATATTAAATAATGGTGAGATTTTTCCTCTGAAATATAAATTTCAATGCCATAAGTTCTTATAGAACAGGTTATAAGATTTCCTGGTACACGTGCAAACCTGTAACATTATAGCTACAGATGCTTCCGTGAAGGAGAAAATAGCAGGTGTGTGAAATGTCTGCGAATCGCTTGGCTGGTCGTTCGCTGCGAGGCTAGCCCATTTCATTACGGTTTTTGAAGCTGAGCTTATAGAGATCATCATGGCCCAGCGAAAAGCTCCGACGCACGAGAGCCGGGTGATA